GCCTTCGGGCTGTGGGAGTGGGTGGGAGGGAGAGGACTGTGGAGGGGGAGCCCCAGCCCCTCGCGGCGGCTCCTGGGACTTCGCGTGGTCCACCTCTTCTAGCAAAGCCTCGAGTTTCCGAGTTTCCCTGGGATGTCTGCCGCCCCTTCCTCAGCTGGAATCACAGTGTTTGGAGGGGACCCGGGTAGGTCAAGCCCAGCCTCTGTCACTGTCTGAGTCTGTGCCCCGCCTGCCCACAGCTGGCCAACGGCTTCCCTCAGGCTCCCTGAGTGCAGGGAGCTACTTCCTGGAGCCCAATATTTTGCTTATTAAAAAAAAAAATAGAAGCAGAATCATTTTTATTTTCTGAATGTAAATAAGTTATTTTCTGATTATTATTTACATGTAGGAATTTCATGAAGAAGAATCCCATCACCCAGAGCTATCTCTGTACATTTTTGTATTTATATCTACGCATGGAATCATATTCTCTATCGGCTGGGAGTCGCTTAAACAAACAGGGGCTAAACTTTCTCACGGAGCTAGAAGACCAGTGTTTGCTGACTGGTTCATGAGTTCACAGGCCCCAAATCTGTGCGAAACTCTTGGCATTTTCCTCAAGGTTCCAAGACAGCTGCAGCCACCGAGTCTGTATGCAAGGCCAACAAAACTAATCACTTCTGCTTTTTTCTTGAGAAGTCACCCCAACAAATTTCTCTTCAGGTCTCACTGGCCAGACTGGCCACGGCGAGCAGGGTTGGGGTGACTGGCTTCAGGCCAATCCTAATTTACGACCTGGGAGTGGGCACGTCATCATCAAGGAATGAGGGAGTTAATAGTGTTTGCTGCATCCTACTTTATAATCTCTCTTTGTATTAATTGCATATCATAAACGTCTTCCCACATCAAGAAATGAGGAGAGTCATCATTTTAATGGCCGTGCACTGTTCCCTGGCATAGCAGGGGCTTCGTTAGCCCATCTCCTGTTGCTGGCTGTTTGGATTATCCCTGTGGTTGACCCATCGTGAACAAGGCCACAGTAAACGCCTTCTGGAGGTGCATCTTGGATGACTGTTTCCTTGGAGAAGTTTCTACACGTGGGGGCACTAACCGCACGCTGCCCTATTACCCCCCAACACGTGGATCACTTCTGTTCCCAAAAGCAATGTAAGACAGAGCCCTGCTCCTCCCCATTCTGCCACCTGTTACTGTCATCTTTATAAAGTGTGGCCAGTGCCATGGGTGAAACCTGGTTTCTGGTTTTAATTTGCATTCCTTTGATTATTTCTGAGGTTGACCATATTTTCATTTGGTTTTTTGTTTTTTTGTTTGTTTGTTTTAATTCCTACCCAAGGATATGTTTTCTTACTGATTTTAGAGAAAGAAAAATTGGAGGAGAGAGAGAGAGAAACATCGGTTGCCTCCTGTGCATGCCCTGACTGGGGATTGAACCAGCAACCTTTTGGTGTCTGGAACGAGGCTCCAACCAACTAAGCCATCTGGCCAGGGCTCTTTTGTTTCTTTTATGGGGTCACAGACCTTTTATGTGGCTGCAATCCTTTTCCTGTGTGAGCTCTCTCTCTCTCTCTCTCTCTCTCTCTCTCTCTCTCTCTCTTAACCATAATGCTCTTTGGGCAGCTCCCAGTGTTACCAAGTCCTCCTTTTACAGAAACCTAGAGCTCCGTCCTGTTGCCCAGGCTGCCTGGCACCATGCATCAGCCGGGAGGAGAAGTGGAATCTCGTCCACCTCCACCTAATCACAGGGAATAGGGACAGTGACAGGTCGAGGAGGGCTGTGGCATGCCCAAGGCCGTGGCAAGCAGTCGGCGGGAACCCAAGCTCCCGCCCCAGGACCACTCTCTTGCCCAGTTAAGGGCAGGGGCCACCCCTCCATGTCTCCAGGGCCTTTTCCTCCCAGAGTGGAAACTTCCAAAGTCCCTCTGACCTCACAGGAGGGTGAAGAGAGCAGGAATTCCTGCCATGGTACACAGACCTGGAGCCTGGGGCTGAAAGTTGGAAACCGGGGTTCACTGAGACTGCCTTCCCCCACCCCCCTCACCCCTGTTAACCCGCCAGCTAGAGGGACTGGAAGGCAGCAAGGCCAAGGGAGCAGGCACAGGGGTGCGATCTCAGGCGGAATACATGGGCCTCAGAGCTTGAGACGGTCAGAGGAGAGCGGAGCAGAGCCCCCTGCACCCCTGCTCTTCAAGCTTTCAAAAGCTGCTGACCCGTCTTCTCAAATTAAAATGCACAGCACAGTTGACTCCCCGCCTCCTCACAGTCACCAGCCGCCCGAGGAGGACGTGCCCAGCAGAGAGGCCGGAGGAGCAGCCTGGCCGCCAGGAGCCGGCCCCCGGAGAGGCCTTGCTGCTCTGCTGACCGTGAGCAAGTCCACAGAACGTCAGCTTCAGACAAGGCCACTCTGGGACCGTGATGCTCAAGGCCACTCGGCAGCTGCGGCCTAGCACAGGCAGCATGAGCGTCGTCACAGCCACAGCAGTGACCGCACATCCCGGTCCTGGCTGGAGGAGCCGCGGCTCCCGCGCCACTTACAGCTTCGGGTCGGGCTGGTCCTCCCCTTCGAGAGGAGATGCATCGGGTGCCGCACCACAGAACTAGCCCTGCTTCCAGGCAGTACCGGGTCCGGAGCAGCGCCCCACTTCCTCACACCCCCGATCACCTCACACCAGCCCAAATCCCACACGTCCTTCCTCACACCTCCCACAGAGGCCCCCACGGGGTGTCCTCACTGCACTGTGTCTCGACCCAACTATGAGCCACAGGAGAGCTCGGGGTGGGCTCCTGCAGGCATTGGCAGATGGGTTCCATCAGACACCCCCACCGCCGAACCCGTGCCAAGGTCAAAGACAGGGCCCACGCCCACTCTGTGCCCATGAGGAAACGGAGGCCCAACAAAGGCGGCCGACTTGCCCGAGGTCACAGAGTCGGGTAAAGATGGAGCGGATCGTCCAGATGGGGTAAGAGTGAGGGTGCCCCGCTAATAACAACGCGGGCATCACAGGACTGTCCTGGGCAGACCAGGCATGGTGCCTCCCCATCGCACAGCAAGGTGGTGGGGACTGCAGCCCAAACCCAAGTCTTGCCATGTCTCTCCACTGCCCCACGCCCTCGGCGCCACTTCCCAGGATGGGGTTGGCATCTGTCTGCTGGTCGCCTCGCAGGAGAGGCTCTTGGCTCTCTGGTAAGGCCTGGCGAATGCCCTCCATGGTGACTCAGGGACACGGGCCACGCGAGTTGCACAGCACACAGCGTCCCACATGGCCACCCCGCTGTGTCTGGTGTGCACTTTCCAGAGGGCGCCCGTGGTGCCCGCCAGGCATGATGCCTCATTTGTCCTGGCCAGAGGGGAACGGGTGGTTTTACATAAAAGAATGTGCAGGTGAATGAAAGTGACCCTTTTAAATGTTGCAGTTTTATTTAGCCATCCGTGCTGGTGCTGTTTCTGATGCAGGTCGCCCTCCCCACCGTAGTAAACAGAGCACAGAAACACACTCCACCTCGCCCAGCCGGCCCGGGTCATGGCTGGGAACACCCGCTATGGCACAGGGATGTGCCCAATATGCCTTTGACTGCCCAGGCTTTTATACTGGAGGTAGAATGATCCAGAAAGAAGGGGGGAACTGGGGGGTAAAAGGGGCTGTGCCCTTCTGACTCAGCACAGAAGGCATCCCTCTCCCACTGTGGGTCCCCCAGCCCTGACGCAGAGGCCCAGCCCAGGAGGAGGTCTCCCCGGCCCAGGAGGCCCGAGTATAAGCTCTAAGTCCGTGGGTCTGGTTTGAGGTAGTGCCACTGCCCCTTCCTCTGAAGCATCTCAGGGTCCCTGTGCGGGGACACTGGGGGACGTGGCTGAGCTCAGCGTGCTAATAGCATTGCTCTGCCTGCCACCATGCTGCTGCTGTGAAACAGTGGCTTCTTCAGGGGCCGCTGAAGCAGGCTGAGCTACTTGCCGCAGACTCGCTGGCCCCAGGGCACTCCGCTGCCTCTGCTGTGCCCATGTTTTAATTCCTCCACTCCCCCCTCGGCCCCTGCTCTGCACTCTGTCCCTAACCTATAAGAACCAAGCTCACTAGATTGTGAGTCCTTTGAGGGCAAGAACTGCTATCAGTTCATGTCTCTTTCTCCCTAAAGATCCTGGCTTCGTGCCCGGCACATAGTAGATGCTCAGTAAAGCCACCTGGATCAAATTGAATTAAGCCAGGAAGTTTCAGTCCAACCCACAGTCCTAAACCGATGCATATGTATTCTGCAGGGAGCAGGTTACTCAGGGGGCTTTTTGCCTGGCTCTGGGACACTTACGCAGGCCATTTGGAAGTTTGAATGCCGGAGAGTAAAGGGACGGGGAGTCTAAGAGTTAGGGAAGTCGGGGAGAGGACGTTCTCTGCAAAGCTTCCTGGGCTCTGGTCAGTTCCTACCCCTCCGTGAGCACTGACTCGGCACAGGAGGTACCATGTGAGTCAGGCAAGGGCACTGGCCTCGAGCAGCCATGGTCCAGTGATGAGCGTACAAGACCCGAAGGCGGCGCGAAGGAGCCAGGACTACGCTGTCCCCAGAGGCGGTGACAGCAGGAAAGGCTTTCAGAGGAGGGACATCTGTGCGAGGGTTTGAAGGATGAGCACAAGTTTGCTGGGCAGACGAGGGATCAAAGGGCTTCCTGGCAGAGAGGTGGCAGAGAAGGGCAGTGTGTGTGTGTGTGTGTGTGTGTATGTGTGGTAGGACAGGGCCTTGGGGTTGAGGAGCAGAGGGTGTGGCATGGGCTGGTGGGGGAGTAAGTTGGGAGGTCAGCAGAGGTCAGCCATGGAAGGTTTGGCTCCCATAAAACAGGAGCCACAGGAGGGATGTGGGGGCACACGCAG